TGGATCTTTTTTACACATTAACTAAAATTCACTCACAACAATGTGTTCCCTTTCCAGGTGTGTGCATTTTTAAGCTTTAAAAATTTTTAATTGTGGAATTAAATCCTGTTAAATAAATTTATGGCAGCCCAGAACAGATAATAATAACTAACTAATATTTACATAGCTTTTTGAAGTTTGCAAAGCATTTTATGTTTTATGTCATTTGCTATTCTCAATACTCTGTGAGTTAAGTGCTATTGCTATCCTCAATTTTTTTTTTCAATTTTTATTTCAATAAGGAGATTGAGGTTCAGAGACACTTTATGAGGTCATACAGCTAGTGAATACCTAAAGAAGGATTCAAACCCGGTCTTCTTGAATTTTAGCCCTGAAGCTACCCATTATGCAAAGCTGCTCCCAAGGGGGAGGTTTTTGTTTTTATTGGTTTGTTTGCTGCGTGTGATACAATACATCATGGGTATCTTCAGTTGCAGAGAATTTTGCTAAACCTTTGACTGACTAGACCTGCTTTGGTCCTCTTATGGTCCCTGATGGTTGGGAAGAAGGAACTGGTCAGAAAGGATAGATAGGGGCCTGGATTTTTCTTCCCTTTGCATTTGCTACCTCTCCCTTAATTCTAAATTTTGCTTCTTCCCCAGATGACAGAGATCCAGCACCTGTCCTTGGATGGCCTCCCCTTCCATGGACTTAAATACCCTTCCCTGAGTTTTTCTTTGCCTTTCTCTCCCTACTCCCAGGGATGTGTTAGAGTGAGGCAAAATAGAAATGGATCCCCTCAGGCCACGTATTGATTTAAAAAACCAAAAAATTAACATTATCTATATTGAGTTATACTTTTATTTATTTTGTTAAACATTTCCTAATTACATTTTAATCTGGCTTCAATAGCACTCTTGAGAGTTTCGCAAGGCCACATGCAGATGTGAATTCGACATCTCTGTGCTAGAGCCACCTCCAACTATCTCAGGAGAGATGAGCTGATTGTTAAATTTTCAGCATGAACATTTATACCATGAAAAATCTATAAACACTGCAAATCAGGGCTAGATTGTCTAGACTTAAGAAAGTAAAGAAAATGTTAATAATGCAAATTAAACTTAAAAGTGTGTTAATGCTACATTTCCCCTCCAGAGAGCTGATTGTCAAAGATTTACCAGCACATCTCTGTATCTCCCCAACTCCCTTTTCCCCTTATCCTCCCATGTACATTTGTATATTAATTGTGCTTAGTAGGCAGAGTAGGGTCTTCTAGGTTGGAGTTCCTGCTGCTTCCACTTTCTGGTCCCCAGGACAGCTGGTCTGGGACATAGAGTAGGATGTTTTGGCTCAGGTAAGGAGTCCAAATGAGATTGAAGGGCATTTCACTCTGGACCTAGAGGTGGTTAAATTAGAAGCATAAAAATCCTGCCAGAACTTTTATCTCTTGATGTTTGTGTGATTTTGACCCTAAAGATTAAGTGAAATCAAGGAGAATTGTCAACCTTGTCACTAATTATATATATGCAAGGAAAACTGACACAAAGAAAAGAGATTAAGTAAACAGTTATTTGGGTTGTGTAATACTATTGCAGTCATCGTGTATGCTATTTATGTCTATTTACCATACAGTACAATTGTCCCCTAGATCCAGTTACAAGAAACCTCATACCTCCTTGGCATCTATGACAACGGGCAATTCTGACTTCCCTGCCCTTCTGTCTCCTTTGTCTCTTCTTTTTTGTCTCACCCCTCCCAGTAAACACACATCCCATTAAATATGTCAGATTAATTTTGTCTGAAATTGCGTTTGGTTTACACAGTAAACTCTCTACATATACACTTAGTCTTCATAGTACACTGCACATGTCAGTTATGTGCTCATAACTAACAAAAAAAAGAGCAGGAACATTGCCAATGATTTGTACCATGCAATTTACTATTGAATTATAGAATCTTGAGCCAACAATAGAATTTCCTAGGATAAGTTTTGTCTTTCTAATTAGAAGGTGAACATTTGAGTGCAGATGTTATTTTCGATTTCTTTTGTAATCTCTATTGTACCTATCACAGTGCTAGCTAAATTGTAGTTACTTAGTAAATAATATTGCATTGGTCTAAAGAGAGGATGCACCCTTAAATCTTTTGAAAGGAAACCTATATATTTATATATGTAGGTATGGAGTCCTTCAATCTTCAGCCCAGTTGACCTAATCAATAGAAATTAGGGGTAGATAAAAGAGGTAATGAGGTGTTAATGCGTTAAAGAAACCCCTACTTTGTTCTCTTCTTTTGGAGTGTTAAGAGGTTTTCTTGAAGTAGTTAGATAAATTTATGGCAGCCCAGAACAGATAATAATAACTAACATTTACAGAGCTTTTTGAAATTTGCAAAACATTTTGTGTTTTAGCTCATTTGCTCTCCTCAACACTCTGTGAGGTAAGTGCTACTAATATCCTCAATTTTATAGCTAAGGAGACTGAGGTTCAGAGAGTCTTTATGAGGTCATACAGCTAGTGAATACCTAAAGAAGGATTCAAACTCAGGGTCGCTGGTCAAAGGCTGGCTGAAGATTGGGTATATCCCTGGTGGACACTAAAAAATAAGTTTGTTAGCCGAGACAGAGAGAGAGAGACAGAGAGAGAGACAGAGAGAGAGCCAGAGACAGAGAGAGAGAGAGAAAGACAGACAGACAGACAGACAGACAGGCAGACAAGGAATATTTGAGGCAGGAATCAGTGGTGTGGAATATGACCTCTGACTCTGTCCCAGAGAGCAGCAAGAGGAAAGAAGATTTCTCTCTCTTTTTTTTTTTTCCCCTGCATTGGCCATGACATCGTGCAATGAATGCGCAACCCACAAATAGGAAGCTTACTACATCCAGCATGGAATAGAAAGAGAGCAAGAAAGCTAGTATGGACAGGAAACAGCTTCAAGAAGCATGATTCCTGGCAGTAGAGAAAGGAGCCAATCATTTCTTAAAGGGAAAATTAGCCCTGGCAGCTGGGAATTGAATTATGGAAAGAAGCAGGCCCAGAGAGCCCTGCTCAACAATCTGTCCAGCAGAGACATTGCATCTAGCGAGGATGACACTAGAAGAAAAAGGATATTTGGAGACTTCAGGGCCAGAGAAATGAATTTCCTTGGCCTCAAATGTTTCCTATCTGTATGCCTCACTAACAGTGACTTTTAGTTTATGTGTACTCTCCTCAATGATGTCACGTGTATTTGGAGAACACATTGGAGTTGGAACACATCCCATAATGGGTTAATAGGGACAATGCTTTGTAGCACTGTTCTTTATTGGACAAGGAGTTCCATGATTTCATTGGTGTAGGGCAGTGGTGTCAAATAGAAATGGATTTCCTACAGGAGCCTATTGATTTAGAAAACCATAAATTAACATTATCTCTGTTTTATTATATTTTTATTTATTTTGTTAAACATTTCCTAATTACATTTTAATCTGGTTTGGCCTCATCCTGGACTTTTGCCCTGGGGACTTGAGTTTAATCCCTCTGATGTAGGGTATTCTCTCCGCCTGAAGATGACAGCATCTCATCTCCAACTTAGAATTTACAAGAGTTGCTTGTGGGCTCTGAAAGTTTAAGTGACTTGCCCATTGTCACACAGCTACTATCTGGCAGAGACAGGATTTGAATCAGGTCCAAGGTTATCTCTCTATCCACTAATTGCCTTTATTCACCTTAGCAGCTACAAGCCACAGCCTTTGATTCATCAATCCATGGATAGGAATATAAAACCCTACCTTTCGGACTAGGTTGAACCTCTTTGGGGAAGAGAATTCCAGGGATGTCCTCTAGCTCTAAGTTTCCAGCATCTTCAAGGATGGAACTGAGTGTAAGGGGTAGAGAGAGGTGAGATGGTTTTGTAGCAAGGTTCTTATTTGTAAGGGCCTTGGAATAGGTATGCAAACAGTCCCTGACTGTTTCTCTTGCCTTCTGCAGCAGTAGCACAGTCATCAGAAATAGGCTGGGTTTCTGTGACTTGCCCCTGGACTACAGGAAGACCAGAGAGGCTCAGGCTTTACTTATGGTACTATGACAATGATTATAAGTAGCAGCTATATTTTAGGAATGCTACTTCTAGGAAGGAAAGTTTGACCTATCAATCAATCAACCAGCCAAAAAACATTTATTAAGCACCTCTTATATTCCAGATGCTGTACTTGAGCTGCGGACATAAAGGCAAAAATGAAACCATTCCTACCCCCAAGGAGCTCACATTAAGACCAATATGGTAGTTTTTGGTCGATCAAACACTCCAGAATTCTGTTATACTAGGTCAATGTCCTCTGTTGATATTTCTGAGCAGGTTCAGGACGGGCTTCTCAGAAATTGTAAGGAGGAGATAGAATGAAGGGGGGACAGGCCATCAAAAAACATACTTGTTGATTACATTCAAGTCTATGCCTCCATTATAGAGGCGTTGGCAGTAAAGTCATTCAGCTATGATCTTAATGTGTCTCCGCCTGGTTTTGATAGAAACTTAATTTCACATTTTTCTCCTGGTACTGACCTGTCAGGTGCCATGGGCAGTTCATCCTTCCATTCCCCTCTAATTGCATGGTTGTTGTTCATGTCCAACTCCTCATGATCCTTTTTGGGGTTTTCTTTGCAAAGATACTGGAGTGGTTTGTCATTTCTTTCTTCAGCTCATTTTACAGATGAGGAAACTGAGGCCAAAAGGGTTAAGTGACTTGCCCAGGGTCACACAGATTTGAACTCAGGAAGATGAGTCTTCCTGACTCCAGGCCAGGCACTCTATCTACTATGCCCTCCAATTACATTAGTAAGGGTCTTATATATAGAGGAGAAACCCTATTTTATGTGGATATTTTCCCTTTCCCCTTTCTCTGTATCCCCATTAAATGCTTATTGACTGACTGATCGTTTTGGAACTCGGGTTTTCCCACGAGGGGCTTTTTCACAGCATCGAGTTTCCCATCTGTAGTCACTTTTTGATTTGTGATGCTTATTTTCTTTCTTTTTTTCTTTCAGTTTCCCAAATCAATTCCAGAACAGCTCGGCCAGGGGGGAAGCTCATCGAATCGCTTTCTGTGACTGGAGTCCCACCAACCTACAACATAACTCTATGGCTGGCAGGCTGTGGCAGCGAACTCCCTCTCATTCAGCCTTGGTAAGGAGGGCCTTTATTTCCCTGTGCCTTCTCAGGGTGTACAGTTATAGGAGAGATTCCTTTTGTGAATGGGTTGGACAGGGGACTGCCGAGGTTCCTCCCAACTCTTAAATTCTGTGATTCTGGCTCTGTGGATGCAGAAATCAGCTGTTTTTTTTCTACCTCTGAAAACTTATTTTCTTGGTTTCCATTAAGATCATTGATTTAGAATTAAAAGGAACCCAAAGGCAGTAGCATGTAGCTATGGAAAGACAGTTGGATTTGGAGTCAAAGGACATGGGTTCCAGTTTTGTTTCTGCCACTCATTGCCTGTGTGACTTTGCATAAACCACTTCACTTCTCACACGTAAAATGAGGATTGTTGTTGTTTAGTTGTTTCAGTTACATCCAACTCTTTGTGACCCTTTTTTGGGTTTTATTGGCAGATACCAGAGTGGTTTTGCCACTTCCTTCTCCAGCTCATTTTATAGATGAAGAAACTGTGGCAAAAAGGGTTAAGTGACTTCCCCAGGGTCACAAAACTAATTGGCCAGATTTGAACTCAGATTTTCTGATTCTATTCATTGTGTCACCTAACTGCCTATAATGAGGACTAGATAACCTCTAAGGTCCCTTTCAACCCTAAATCTATGATGCTAAAATCATCTAGCTTTATAGATGAGAAAATTATGGTAATCTGACTTGCATAAGGTGACGAAAGTAGCAGAATCACATAGTCTCAGAGTTGGAAGGAACTTCAGATACCATTAAGTCCAATTATACCTAAAAAAAAAAACAACAACAAAAAACCCTCAACAACATCCTCAAGAAATAGTCATAGAGCATTTTCTATTTTCCAATTTTCTACAGTAATTCAAACCCAGATATTATGACTCTAATCATTTCCCAGTAGGTACTTATATTTTTTGGAGAATCTATCTGTCTGTTCCTCTGTCTGTCCATCCATCCATCCATCCATCCATCCATCTCTCTATCTCTCTAAGCTTTTCATATGAAACTATAAATCTCTATCACGTGCCGTTTTCTTTTCTTAAGTATATAATAAATTCAACATGTCATTTTCAAATCTGCCCTGCTTGTCTGTGATTCCTTCTGTTCTCTTCTGTGCATTTGAAATTCTTCAATTGTCCCCTCATTTTTCTTTTTTTTTCTTTTTTGGTGTCAACTCTATCCCTATTCCCTTTTGCTTCCCAACTCTCTCCCTCTAACCCAATTAAAAAAAAAAAGTAGAATAAACCCCTTCTAACAAATATCCATAGTGAAGCAAACAAACTCTCAAATAAATTGTGTCCAGTTCTACACTTCGAATTCATGTCTCTGTCTGGAGGAGGGTAGCATGCTTCATCATTGGTCTTATGGAGCTGTGATGGGTCATTGCATTAGTTGGTATTTAGAGACTCCTACTTTGTGATGCAACTGTTTATAAAGTAAAATCCATTCTTTTCATGTCCTGCATTTACAAGAAACTGACAATACTACTGTTTTCCACTTTATTAAGATTTCTAGGTCTTCCATTCTTAACTGCTTTTATTTAAGGAGAAAAAAAAAAAGTTGGTCCTCCCTATAATAACCACTAGATGGCACCAAAACTCCACAAGCACTTTATTTCCCTAACTGCTGTTAGGAGAAAGAAAGATGCTATTTTCATAGAATTGTAGTTTTAGAGATAGAAGGAAACTCTGAGGCCATCTAGTCCAACCCCTTTATTTTATAGGTGAGGAAACTGAGGCCCAGAGTGGCCTCATAAGGTCACACAAATAATACATGCAAAGTGGCATTCAAACTGAAGTCTTTGAACTCCAGGTCCAATACCAGATGTCCTTGTTGAACTTTGTAAAACAACTTGTCCAAAGTTACACAGGAAGTAAATGAAAGAACCACATTTAAACCTAGGATATTTGACTTTTAAGCCAGTCCCATTATAGAATAACAATTTCCCCAAACCCTTTTAAGATGAGTAGAACCCAGATACCTCACCCTTTTCCGTACCAAAAGGAATTCTCTTACCTTTCATGTCTTGGGAATCTACTATTATAAGGAAATGTAGACAGCATGACTCTGCCTATGTTTAAGTCACTCTAGCCTCATGTCCTTTGGTACAGTGGCAATCCAAATATCCCTTAAAAAGGGAAGAGTGCACGAATTCAGATAACTAGAGCAATTGACCCAGAAGTCAGTCATATGGCATTATTGCAGTCCTGTTATGAAAAAGTGACTGAATTGACATAAGAGATATATTTGTTTAATCATAAAAATAAAAGGAAGTTAAGGAGTTAGCTATTTATTAGGTGCTATGGATGTTTGTAAGTAGATTTTTAAAAATTGTAATGTTGATTAAATTTTTTTTTAATTTCGAAGTTTATAAATACCTTTAATCTAGAGTGGTACAATGAGAAGACCACTGACTCTGGGGTCAGAAGACCCAAGTTCAAATCCTGCCTCTGATATTTAGTGCTTAAGTCATTTCACCTTTGTTGGCCTCAGTTTCCTTATCTGTAAAATAAGAAGGTTAAACTAGATGACCTCTGAGACCCCTCCTAGCTCCAGATCTATAATCTAATATCCCAATTTTTCAGATGAGAAAACCAAGACCCAGAGAGGGGAATTGATTTGACCAAAGGCACAGGCCAGGAGTAAAAACAACCATAAGTCATAATGATGGTGGCTCCTTGTTATCACCGGGGTCAAATAAAAATTCCTTTGTTTGTACGGTATTTTTACAATCTGGTCCTGTCCTACCTTTCTAGTCTTCTTACACTTTTCTCTCCTCTGCAATCCGGTAACACTGGTCTGCTTGCTATTCCTCCAGAATGACATTCCATCCCTTGAATCTGTGCCTTTTCATTTCTGGTCCACCCCCCTCCCCAGTCCTACCCTACCATGCCTGGAATGCTCTCCCTCCTCACTTTCTGGCTTCCCTGGCTTCCATCTAGACTCGATTTAAATACCATTTACTGCAGGAAGCCTCTTCCTTCAGTGCACTCCCCACCCCTTCCCCCTAATACTCCCCACCCCACTGCAAGTGTCTTTTCTCTGAGGCTATCTTCCATTTATACTGTATATATCTTGTTCATATACTTTTTTACTTGTCTTCCCTGTTAAAATATGAGTTCCTTGAAGGCAGGGACTAGGTTTTTGCTTTTCTTTGTGTCTGTAACTTTTAATACAATGTGAGCTTGTTGACTGACTAAAATAGGGTTTTGAAGTTCTTTTCTTGGTATTCAAATAAGATAGATACTCCATCTCTTGACTCTGAACTCCCGACTCAGGTAGTCACTCTTTTTCCATAGGTCCCACAGCTCCAGGGTCCATGTTAAATTACCTGCTTTTGGAGAGGGTCCTAGCATCTTCCATCTGACTCATCTTGAGATGAAAGTCAGAAGGACTCTTGGTCATTTAATCCCTTTATTTCTCCCCTAGTATTTCCACATGGCCATCATCATGGTTCAGATTTGTTTTATGTCCAAGTATCATGGGGATTTCCTCGGCTTGCTGAGGGTGCAAGTGCTACTTGCTTTGGGTTTCTTGCTATTGACTCCTTTGTCTCTGATGTTCAACAGCTACTTGCCACGGGAAGAAGCAGATGAAGACCTAAGAGGGGTCAACGTGACAGTCCAGAGACTGCAAAGGATAAGCCCACCTTTAGGAGGACATTTTCAGATCCAACTTCCCAAGACAGTGATACCTGGTAAAGAGGAAACAGCCCATGGGGCATTTCTGCTTTTAAATTTGGCACACACTAAAGGCTTAATAAATGCTCTATCTCATCTATATCTATCTTGTCCATCTATCTATAGCAATCATCTATATATCTAATTTTTTTTTTAGGCAATTGGGGTTAAGTGACTTGCCCAGGGTCACACAGCTAGTAAATGTCAAGTGATTGGTCTGAGGCTGGATTTGAACTCAGGTCCTCCTGACTTCAGGGCTGGTGCTCTATCCACTGCGCCACCTAGCTGCCCCTATATATCTAATTTCAAGATGTATATTCATAATAATACTAATAATAGCTTACCTAGAGACAGCAAAGTGACATAGCAGATAGACTCCCTGGACTGGGAGTCAAAAAGATCAGAACAAATTCTACCTCTTACTAGATGTGTGATCCTGGGCAACTTACTTAACCTTTCTCTGCCTTGATTTTCTCATCTGTAAAATGGGGATAATAATAGCACTTACCTTACTGTTGTAAAGATCAAATGAGGTAACGTGAAAAGGGAAGGTCATAGGATCGTAGAAGGTAGATGTGGCAAGAATTTTAAAAGTTATCTCAGGGGCAGCTAGGTGGTATAGTGGATAGAGCACCGGCCCTGGAGTCAGGAGGACCTGAGTTCAAATGCGGCCTCAGATACATAACATTCACTAGCTGTGTGACTCTGGGCAAGTCACTTAACCCCAATCGCCTTACCAAAAAAAAAAGTTATCTCACTGAACCTCCTCATTTCATCAATCACAGGGTCATAGATCTAGGGCTAACTAGATCCCTTCTAGTTCAGGGATTCTTAATCTTTTTTTGAGTGTGTCATGGGTCCCTTTTGGCAATCTGCTGAAGCATATAGATCCCCTCTCAGAGTAATGTTCGTAAATGCGTAAAATAAGATACAGAGCATAAAAGGGAAACCAGTGATATTGATACATAGGTATCTGTCTGTCTGTCTATCTGTCTGTCTGTCTATCCATCTGTCTGTCTGTCTGTCTGTCCATCCTCTAAACAAACTAGTTCATGGACCTCAGGTTAAGAGCTCCTGGTCTATTTCAACTTCCATCATTTTGCAGATGAGGAAACTGAGGCCCAGGGATGTTAAATGCCCTGCCCAAGATCTCACAGGTAGAAATGGCAGAACCAGGATTCAAACTGAGACCCTCTGACCCCAAAGCCAGATTTTTTACTCTACAACACCAGTGTCAGCTGATGTGTGACCACATGAAAAGTGGTCAGTTCTTTACTTTTTCTAAGGTCACTTTTGATTTTAGTTTTAGTTTTTAATTTAATTTAGTTTTTAATTTAGTTTTCAAGACTTGAACATGACATCTGAAATGTAATTCCAGGGTTGGTGGCATTATATGAGTTTGTCTTGTATGACACTTTGTGCCACGAGAGAGACAATGTGGTACATTGCATAGCATGTCAACTTTGGAGAAAAGCAAACCTGGATTGGATATGCTCTCTGCCTGTGCAGCAAATTGCTCAACCTCTCTCAGCCCCAATTTCCTCACCTGTAAATTGGGGATAATAATAGCATCTATTTCCCAGGGTCATTCTGACAATAGAGCAAATTAATTTTTTGAAAGTGCATTGCAAACCTTCAAATGCTATGTAAGTATGAGCTATTACTATTATTATTATTATTATTAATAAGGTAATGATAATCATGTGAGCTGCTAGGTGGTGCAGTGGATAGAGTCCCTGGCCTGGAGTCAGGAAGACTCATCTATTTGAGTTCAAATCTGCCTCAGATACTACTTGCTGTGTGTCCCTGGGCAAGTCACTTGTCCCTGTTTGCCTCAGTTCCTCATCTGTATAATGAGCTGGTAAAGGAAATGGCAAACCACTGCAGTATCTTTGCCAAGAGAGCCCCAAATGGGGTCACGGAGAATTGGATACAACTGAAACAACAACAACAATAATGATCATCATTCTTATCATTACGGCTCACATTTATATAGTACCTATTATGAGCACTGTGCTAAGAGCTTTACAAATATTATTTTATTTGATTCTCACAACAACCTTAGAAGGTAGATGCAATTATTACCTCTATTTTACAGATGGGGAAACCAAGGCAAGCAGAGGCCATGTGACTTGCCCAAGATCACACTTCTAATAAGTGTCTGAGGCTGAATTTGAACTCAGGTCTTCCTGTCTCTAGGCCCAGTGCTCTATCCACTGCACCACCTAGCTGATTAAAGGCATCGAGTTAATATCACCATGAAATGACGTTTTCCTAGTGAGAAGGAACTCAAAATAGAACTCAGTGGTTCTCTTGAATTTCCACTTTGAGGACCCAGGGCTATTCCAGCAGACTTGGCTTTTGCTCTCAGTTGCCCTCGCCCTCTGTGGTCAGTTATTTCACGCTGTGTGCTTACTGTTTGAAAATATCCCTCCACAGGCATCCCTGTGCACATTTCTGCTTGTGACCTCCGTGAGCTCTTACAGGGCAGCAACGATGACTTTGCAGCTCAGCTCTTTGATGTCAGTGACTTTAAGGTGCAGAAAGATCTAAACACCTGCTATGAGCGTGTGTGGACCCTCACCTGGATGTCCCAAACAGGGGACTTGCCCAATATCATCAGTGTATGTATAATGTTTCTTCTTCAATGTGGAGATTTGATGTGACCAGTGAAATAGACCTGGCCAACCCACATAGGGTTGTCTTACAAGAGCCTTCTCTCAAAAGCGAGAATCTCTGAAGTGGAGATTGGGTCAGGGAGGTACACGACTCCAGTGGTTGGGTAGTTTGCTATTATGGGTGGGAAGATGGGTTTCATCCTATCTTCCCTGTCATAGCCAAATATGTGGCTTGTTTCCAACAAATCATACTACCTTTAAACACAACACTACTTTTTCCCTCCCCATTCTGTCCCGTTCACTCTTCCTTGCAAGCTCTTAAGCACCCCTCTTTTGAGCCAGGTGTTACAGCCTCAGGGAAGTTATAAATTAGCTTCTACCTGGGTACTCATAGCATCAACTGTGCAGAAGAGGAAAATTTCACAGCCTTCTCTTCTGCCATTATACTCACTCTCTGCCCCCAGATCACCCGGTGGCTTTGGTAGATGTACCTTGAAGGCAAGGCTTGGCCCTCTGGGGCAGAGACAAGTGACTAAGAGCCCCATATCCCCCCACCCCATCCTTTTTTTTGAGTGGGCCAAAGGGGTTCTCACATGATGACCAGGGATGGATGAGTTCTGATCTGTATCACCAATCTCATTACACTACCTTTTCCCCTAAAAACCACCCCTCTTCTGAACGACATTTTTCCTGTTCAGGGCATCACCATCTTTCCAGGCACCCAGCTTTATAACCTCAGTTTCATCTCTGACTCCTCATTCTCACTGATCTCAATATTGCTGACCAGTTGTTAAGCTTATAATTTCTACTTTCATAATATCTTTCTATTCTGTCCCCTTATTACTACCTACACAGTCACCAGCCTAGATCAAGACCTCCTCACCTCTTGTTTGGATCCTTCTAACTGGTTTCAAGCCTCAAGTCTCTCCCTTCTCCAATTCATCCTTCATTTATCTGCCAAATGAATTGTCCTAAAGACCAGATCTTATGATGTCGATGTCACTCCCCTACTCAATAAACTCCAGTGGCTCTCTATTGAGTCTAGGATCAAACATTATTTCATCTTCCCCCTATTTGTACATTTTATAAAGTATGTAATTACTAGAATGGTAGTACATGTATATAATTTATAAATTAGTAAATACAAGCATATGGGGGATTGCTCTGTGTGTGTGTGTATTTTTTTTTTTTTACCTGATAAGGTATATGATTAAAACAGTTTAGAAATCACTGCCTTAGATATCTTCAAGCAAAGCCTAGACAATCCTTGTTGGGTATATTGTAATGAGGATACTTGTTTATGTATGGATTGAGCTAAATGACTTCTGAGGTCCCTTCCTATGCTGAGATTTTGAGAATCCATTGTGGTATCTTTCAGGCAGATACTTTGAGTTACTTTGCATAAAACTAGGGAACTCTACCCCCTATTCTTATCAATATGTTATGGGATTATAGACACCAACTCCCTCCTTTTACATGGAAAGAAATTGACATAGTGGATAGAGAGCTAGTCTTGAAGCCAGGAAAACCTGGATTCGATCCTGCCTCTGACACATACTGGATGTGACTTTGGTCTTCCTTCTAACTTAAACTTTCAGTTCTCCAGGCAATTCCCTGAGATTGTAAGTTGCAGAACGGTTTTAGATCTGCTTTGGTAGAGAGAATTTCCTTATTGGGAACTCCCTACCAAAATGAAATCATATCTCCTCTTTCCCATAAAAAGTTCAACTTTATGTTTAATTGGTACCCCCTTATAACAATTGAAGCCCATTTTCCCCCTTTCTAACCTCAGTGAGAAGTGGTTGGTCAACATCTCCATTTCAACTGACTATTCAATAGTTTGAACAGATTGACTTAGATTGTCAGAAATGCAGACTAGGATAGAGGACTGACCTGGGAGTCAAGAATACATATGTTTGAGTCCTGCATCTGACACTTACTAGCTGTGTGATGTGGGCAAGTCAATGCCCAGTCAGCACTCGAAGGCCATGTTACAGACAAATTGTTTGGACTTCATCATCAAAGGGACTTTCTGCACTGAGTTCTCTATATGTTGAAATCACAGGTTGAGATTGCCAGCCCTGTAAAAAAAAATCTTAGAGGCATATGTTTCAGAGGGAGCAAGTTTGAAAAATAATTTATATACTTCAAGAAAGAAAGTGAAGAAAGGAAGAAAGGAGAGAGAGAGACAGACAGACAGAGAGAGACAGAGAGACAGAGACACAGATTCAGAGAAATAATTTGTGATTCATCATGTAGATGATGACAAAATCAACTAGAGGTGAATGTTTAGGTTTTGAAATAAAATAATCTATCAGTCATATGGTGTCTAGGGATGTCAACATGAGACTTTTTATATCATGGGTAGGGTATTGTTGTGTTGTGACCTCTGGAACTCTATACCTTAGCATGGTTTTCAAATATGATGCTTTGTGGGAGGATTATGGGTTCTAATACAGTAACATCTAGTTTATGGGTTTCAAAAGTGAATTGATAATTAACTTATAAGATTATGAAATGGAGACAAGTACACCCAGTTCTTTGGATATTCTGTGGGAAAGACCACTATTGGCATCAGGAAATGGGGTGGCAATCACACTTTAATAAAGCACAGAGTACATGGGGGCAAAAAGCCCACAAAGACAGAGACAAATGGCAAAAAGGATTACACAGGCAGACGGTGTGGGGATGGGGGAATGGAACAGTGAAGGTAGGCAATGCAACAAAAAGGATGGAAAGGAAAGAGGCTTTTAGATTAGTATCACTCATGTAACCATGGCTTAGAATTGGGATCACTAGGCAGCATGGACCTTGTGGAAATGGAAGAATACTGGGGGCAAGATTTTGAGGTCTCATTTTTATAGGGTTTTTGGGGGGAAACAGACTAACTTCTATCTGTGCTACCTTGGGGTTAGTTCATTAATGTATCAAATTTTGTCAAAGTTATCAGTAAAATTTCTAAGTTAAATCTCAAAGTTATCAGCTCCTCTTGATGTTTTGCTGGTCTGGAATTGTGGAGATCTGGAATATGTCTGGAATTTACGTATCATAGGACCAAAAGACCCTGACAGCAGTGCCTAGATGGCTTCTGCTGATTCAGCACATATCACCAGGATGTGAATTTTTGTTAGTATATGAGATAATTTGTAAATTATGCTTCTTTGATGTTTTGTATGAGACTTCCAGGTTCCTCTTGGCAATCTTATTTCCTGTTATTGCCCTTTTATACTGGTTCCCTATAACCTTACCTATTATACTGACTGGAGGTGATAGTGGTGGTGGTCAAGGGGACTAGAAAAATATACAATTTTAACACAAAAAGAAAAACAATAAAATTCCAAACCAGAAACAAAAGTATCACAAAGATCTAAAGAAAGGTGGGTGTGGTTTGCACAAAGTGTAATCTCACTTAAAACAAAATATTCCTTGGGTCTACTGGGTCTTCATGAGTCACTCCTTATACTACCAAGCTTCTAGTTCTACAGCCAGTTCTCCCCCACTCCCTTTATGCCACCACAGTTTCTTAAGTAGAATGCCCCAAGATTTATTATTAAATAGTCTAATCTGAACCAGTGTAAAAAACAATAACCTATGTCATTATAAATGTTTATCACCATTTCAGGTCTCGGCAGAAAATCTAACTGGTGCATATCCAGCTGTGAGTACTCGGGTAGTTTATGATGGTGGTGTTTTTCTTGGACCCATATTTGGAGATATGTTGGTTACTCCCAACACATACCCACAGGTGAGAATAGAGGGGCTTCCTAAGGGGCTTTCTAATCTTCACTTGGCTGTTTCACCATTTGTAATATTGGCTATTTTGACTTAGTTCTTAGAACCTCAGTTTTTCTATCATCAAAACAGGTCACTGACATTCATTAATTTATTAATTGATTCACAAATATGATTGTGCTTGTACTCTAGACAACACAGCATTAGGGAATATGGGAGAAGAATACACAAAGGATACAAAGAAGAATAAGACATGGTCCTTGTCTTCATGGAGTTTATAATTGAATGGATCAGATAAATCTTACACAGAAAACCCTGCAATACAAAGGACAGTGTAATATACATGTTACACAAGGGATTGTTTTATTCACTGTATTTGTATACCTACTGCCTAGCAAAATATCTGTCTACTTAATAGATTTTTGTTGGTTGATGGAAGTTTGGGAGAGTAAGAGATCATTTATGTTGGGGGAAGTCAAGGAAGCCATTTTTGAAGAGGTAGCATTTTGGCCGGGCCTTGAAATATGGCTAGGATTATAATAGGTGAAGGTGGATGAGGATGGTGGGTTAGAACATTAGCACAACATTCTAGGTATAGAGAATAGTGTGAGCAAAGGTATAGGGGTGGAAATATGTTTGTGGAATGATCTGTAGTCCAGTTTGGTTGAAGTGCAGGGGAAATACAGAGGGGAATAATCAATAGATCAACCAATAAGCATTTATTTGGAACTTACTATTTATTATGCCAAGCTCTGTGCTAGGTACTGGGGATTACAAATATAGGTAAAAACAGTGGCTGCCTTCAAGGAATTTACATTCGAATGGGGGAGACAACACATAAATAAAGAAGTACTTGTAAGATATAGAGTAAATAGAAGGCAGTGGGGGAAGATTCTAATAGCTTTTGGGAGGGTCAGAGGGAAGAGTGGGAAAGACCTGCATAAAGGGGGGAGGGCAGTGAGGTGGCACAGTGGATAGAGCACCGGCCCTGAAGTTAGGAGGACCTGAGTTCAAATTTGGCCTCAGACCAATCACTTGACACTTACTAGCTGTGTGACCTTTGGCAAGTCACTTAACCTCTGTCAGCCTCAGTGTCCCCATCTGTAAAATAGGGTTGTTTTGAGAGTCAAATGAGATAACATCTGCAAAGAGTTTTGCAAACCATAAGGTGCTATATAAGTGCTAATTATTACTAATGTAGTTATGAGATATCCCAGGAGATGGGACAGAATGGTTCTTCACCTTATGGGGCTTAACAATAGCAAGGTACTTTACAGCTAACACCTAGTATCCCAAGACATCTTGCTCTACAACTATACAGATATATAATGAGAATAGAAAGAAGAAGGCTGTTTGGTTGGGACTTTCCAGGAAGCATCAGCTTCACATAAAAATGGTCCTGTAGCATCTGAACTGTACATACTGTGTTTGCTATGTCTTGTGTTTCTCCAGGTAACTGTGGGAGTCAATGATATACCTGCTCACTGTTTGGGTTCCTGCTCTTTCCAATACCATCAAGAATCAACCCCATTGGTTCAAGCTGTCTGGTACTCTTATGGTAAGATGCTTTCAATTGAATCTTAGGGAAAATAAGTTCTAGACTCAAAAGGAGTTTCCTTAAGAGTATGGATTTGGCTTGGGGAATAGGGAGGGCTGAGTGGTTTCTGGCACATTTTTGTAGTTGTTCAGTCACAGCCGACTCTCATCATGACCCCATTTGAACTTAGGTTTTCCTGACTCTAAACCCAACTCTCTATCCACTGTGCCACCTCGCCGCCCTTCTAGCAGGTAGCAGGTGCTTAATGGGTGCTGAGAGATTGATTAATTAGGGATCGAAGCAAAGTGGAAAGTTTCTCTATTTATCTACAGCATTTCTGGTAAGAACTGTGAAATGCAAGCAGTATGGATTCTTGGTGGACAGAGCACTGGGCCTGAAGTCAGGAAGACTCATCTTCATGAGTTCAAATCACTGGAGGTGGTTCATTTGGTATATTTGCTTCATTTCTTCTGTCAGATGATGACATTAACCTGCTGGTCTTTATCACGGGATCCAGTTTTCCTGGTGACTCTAAAGCTTTGAAAATTGAGGTGAATCAACAGATCTGTGAAGTCATGTTCTCAAACCAAACTTATGTGATCTGCCAGATGAGCTTCTTAACAACTGGAGAGTATCAGGTGGTGATGCTGGTGAGGCACTTTGGCTTTGCACTCAATGTCAGTGGAGGAGAGGGCATCTACTTCAACATTGAACCCAAGTTGGAAGTAGTGGAACCTTCTGTAGCCCCAGAGATTGGTAAGTTTGGAAAAGAAACAAGAATCCACTTGATTCCCTGAATGTGATATTCAGACCACAGGGTTTTGGGGCTGTTCTGAGAGAACTAGCAGGCGTTGGCAAATGCTTTCAAACACCCTAATGTCTGCTGTGGTTTGCAACTTTTAATTTCCTAATATCAGCATTTCCTCTAATGAATTTTACCTCACATGGTCAATGTCTGTTGAATAAATGAATGTGCAAATGAACAGCAAACATTTGGACCCGTAAACACATCTTGGTAGGACTTGTTAAATGTTCTTCTATTTTGGGCTACTACTCAGACTGGCATTCAAAACTTTCCAAATGATCTGTCACTGGCTTTCCAGATTTGTTTTATGTTATTTTCCTTCCCATATACATGCTCTAGGCAAATGAGGGTTATTTGCCTCTCCTCTATCCCTAATTAGCAGCTAGGTGGTTCAGTGGATAAAGTGCTGAACCTGGAGTCAGGAAGACTCTTCTTTGTGAGTGCAAAGCTGGCCTCAGACACTTACTAGCTGTGAGACCTGGGCAAGTCACTTAACCCTGTTTGCCACAGTTTCTCATCTGTGAAATGAGCTGGAGAAGGAAATGGCAAACACTCCAGTCTCTTTGCCAAGAAAACTCCAAATGGGGTCACAGAGAGGCAGACGTGACTGAAAAATGACTATGTCCCTAGCTACTTACCTTACACATATAATAAGGCTTCCCACTTCCAGGTTTTTGACCAGGCCTTTCTTGGGTTTAGATTTTTCTTACCTTCTGCCCCCTTCTCCAATTCTGCCTCTTTCAGTCCTACCCACCCGTCAAAATGCAGAACAATTGTCACTTTCCTCATGAAACCTCCAATCAAGGTTTCATGAAGTAAGAAGGCCAGTCAGAGAGTGAGTGAAATAGAGTAATGTAAAAAAAGGCTAGAAGGATAGATTGGGGCCAGGTTGTAAAGGATTTTAATGTCTTACAAAGATAGGCAACAGATTGAATATGGGCTCCATAGCTGATACACGGTTCCTTTGAATCATCTGGTCATAAATGATTTTCCTTTTCTTGATCTCAAATAGTAACATTTTATTTGAGCCTCTCCTATGCCCTTATATTTAACTTTGTAGGTATTTGTGGATATATTCTATCCTTCCTATTATGTGTGGAATAATGTGCACAGAACTGACTTTTCTGAGTAATTTGAGATACAAAGATCAATAAGACACAGCCCCCTGCCCTCTTGGGGCCACCACAAGACACCACTCTGTCTTATTTATCTTTGTATTCATCAGGGTTATTAACTCAGTGCTATGAACACTGTAAGCACTAAATAAATTATGTTTGTTTTAGAAAGATATCAGGCAGAGTCAGGTCAGTCATCATAGCTCATCAGGATGATGTGATCTACTGGGAAGATCCTCGAAGTAGCATTCACAGGTCTTGGATACAGTAAAACAAACAAACAAACAAACAAACAAACAAACAAAAAAACTACTGAGCCCCAAGTCAGGAGGCCAGGGCTTGAATCTAGCTGGGTGACCTTGGGTAAGTCATACACTTTTATCTGCCTAGGTATTTATACAGGGCCCTTCCTTTTTCCTTCCTTCCCCCCCCCCTCCCCTCCCCTCCCCCCCCTCTCCTCCCTCCCCTCCCCTCCCCTCCCCTCCACTCCCCATTCTTCCTTCTCTCTTTCCTTTCCTCATTTCCCATCATTTTTCCTTCATCCCTCTGACCTCCCTGTCTTCCCTCCTTTCTCCTTCCTAATTTAGAAATCAACCTCTCCTTCATTCCATACTTTGAATCAGTTGCCAAATGCTCAGCCACATGCCTCCCATATGTCCTCTTCCTATCTACTCTCGCAGCCATTGCTCTAATTTTGATTCTTACCACCATAGTTCTTTGATTCAAAGTTTCCCAGTCACAAACTCCCAAATACTGAAAATAGCCATATTCAAATTAGATGCTGGGAAACAATGCATACCATCCGTTTCTAATGTCATCCAGTACTTTTGCCTCTAAGCTGCTGTTCTCTCTTAGAATATTTATTTGAGGGGCTGCTTTTCTGTTAGAGTGGGTTTTTAAATTTTTTTTTACACAGTCTGTGGTTATCCTTATGCTGATTTTTTCTGCGTCTCATTCAACATGTTTATTTTCTTTCCCTTTCAGCAAATAAAATGTCCATATAAAAAGGGGGGGCAGTATCTTATATCTACAAGGCATTGTGATAGGTTGATAGGGTAAAAAGATGAAAATGATGCATCTTGTCCTCAATCAGCTTATAATCTAAAGAGGGGAGAGGAAAGACTATGAGTTACACATACACAAATAAGTATTACACAAGGCAGAATCTGACAGGAGGTAAAAGAAAGATCTAGACAAAGAGTTTTAGGAATATTTGAAAAGGAAGAAACTTCTTTTAACCGGAAGGTTGGGATCAGAGAAGGCATCATAGAGAAAGTAACATCTGAGCTGAACTCTGTAAGAAATGGACTTCAGTAATCAGGGGTAAAGAGGGAAATGTTTCATGGAGGTGGGAAGGCGTACAGATAAACTGATGGCAGCCCAGTTTTGATAGAAGGCAGTACATGAAGTAAAAGAAAGTTGGAAGGGTAGGTTGGAGGCAGATTGTGAGGACTTTAAGTGCCAGGTTGAGGAGTTGGTGTTTTATCCAAAAGGCATGAGGAAGTCATTGAAGGTTTTTGAGAGAAGTAAAGTTTCAGAGTTCCTAGAACTAGTCTTTGAAGTCTTGAATAGATAGAAAAGGGAAGCTGGAGAAAGTTCAAGTGAGTATTTAAAAAAAAAAGTTACTGCTTAAAAAAAAAAACTGTTAACTTTAGATGAGCTCAATTTCTTAATCTATCCTTCCTCTTCTTTCTTCCAGGAAGAATTTTAATAGTTATTTATCATTTTTTTCAGATAATAGCATATATTTCTTTGATTCTCTAGTCACTTGGTGATATATCTCATCAGTAGGGATAATCCATCCATTGTACCATTTCTTTCTCATAAGAAGATTTTGATATTTAAGTTAAATCCTTTCTGTGGCAGTTTTAACATTTTCTGGGATTCTGATGAGTGCTAATTTTTCCGTGTTTCAATCATTTCCTATATCTTGGGCACCACTTGATCTCTACCTGACTGTTTAGCTGGTGATATCACTGATGTTATAGGAGGATTTTGGGCCACTATCCAAGGATCTAGTTTGGAAGAAGTAAGCCTGGTGTTATTTGGGTCTCAACCTTGTCCCATCAACATCTCCTCCAGGAACATGGGAAGAATCCAATGCAAAGTCCCTCCTTGGGTAAGCAGAGTCCTTTAGTGTTTCTTCTTGTTACCACTCACTATCACTTTACATTTAAGGCAGTAATAGAGATGATTGCATAAACTATTTCCTGAATCCTATCTTCTATCTAAACCTTAGAGATGTTCTGTGACAAACTAAGGATGAAGCAGGGGTTAATAAATGTGGGCTTATTGTGGGCACTGGCCCTGGAATCATGAGGGCCTGAGTTCAAATCCAGCCTCAGACACTTATTAGCTGTGTGATCCTGAGCAAGTCACTTAACCCTTATGGCCTCCCAAAAAACACAAACAAAATGCTTATTGATTGATTGACAGGTTGAGCACTCTGATGGTCCCTACCCTATTCATATCCTTCATTTATTGTTTCATTATTCATTAAGTGAATAATGTGAAGGGAATACTTATAAGCTCTCTTGCTTTATGAGATGTTGCAAATGATTATCAAAATAGGTTTTATGCCACTGTCTCTTTACTTTTCCCCTTACTCTACTATTCAGTGACCCCTTCTATGCAGAAATAGTGAGTGTCATATCACTTCATTGGGGACAGTTCCAAAGATAATCCATTACAAGGATAAATAGGGTTCTGATCTATAGGATCATAGACCTAGAGCTAATAGGGATCTCAGAAGCTGTATAACATAACCCCTTGGTTTAGACCTAACTGTAAAAATCATGGATAGGGCTGTGATGAAGATTGGTATCCTGATGGCAAAGAAAGAGAACAAATTTCAATCAACAAGCATTTGTTTAAGTGAATACTATGGGCCAGACACTCTGATAGGTGCTAAAGATGCAAATACAAAGAATGAAACAACCCCCACTCACAAGGCACTTAACATTTTAACAGAGACATGTATATGTATGGAAGAAAGTGGAGAAAGCATCAAGAAGAGCTTTCCCTTGGTATCCCAAAATTATTTGCTGTGAATTATATTTGGGTCATAGACTGATCATGACCAAGTATGAATTTGCATTTATTTGTCATATGACTGGAATAGAATGTGTACCAACAACAATGAAACATTATCATGTTCTATTTTTGAAGATTTCCCGCATCAGCAAAATTAAATGAGTTGTCCAAGATCATAAACTGCAGTCTGCAGCAAAGGCAGAATTTAAACTCAGAATGCAAGGTGATTTTGAATATTCATGACCTTTTTCTTGCTTTGTTTATTAATTCACACCTTGCTTTTAAATTGGAGGTCCTAAAAGCTTTTTTCTGGTCTGATATGTCTTTCCATAATTGATCTGTGTGACTCTGGGCAAGTCAGTTAACAGCTGTTTGCCTCCATTTCCCCAACTGTAAAATGGGAATAATAACAGCACCTATTGGTGGTTGTGAGGATCAAATGAGATATTTGTAAAGCACTTAGAATAGTGCTTGACACAGTCGGTACTATTTAATGTTCATTCTCTTCCTCCCTCTTTTCCCATCTAAACCAACAATTTTATAGAGGAGGAAACTGAGGCTTAGAATGATTAGGTAACCTCCCTAGGTCTCAATTTCCTAATCGGTAAAATGAGGGATCTGTGATCGTATGATCTGATGCATCTAGCAGGTGCTGAACGGCAGGTAAAAGGGCATAAGTTCATTGGTGAACTTTATGGTAGGTAGAGCCTTTTTATCAAGAGCTATAAAGATAGATTTAAAAAAAGGTTTTCATATATTAATATGTTGTGCATTAAGCATGATAGATGCTCTGAAACTTTCATACACCTGGTGGGAATGATCCAACCTCTTGGGTGGTTGAATTTCTTAGTTTTAGTTAATCAATGGACTCTGTGATTGTTATATAAGTTCCTAAAGCCCATTCGTGATTATATGCCTTACCCCTCATCCATCCATTCATTAATTAAGATCTACTACTTGTTTATAATTCACTTACTAAGAGTCAGTCACAGGGTTAGTATTTGTTGAAAGATAGAATTTGAACTCATTTTCCTTACTGAAACGCCATTCTGTCTACCATGTCACAACTGTATAGAACATCCTCCTCCCATCTCTCTGTCTCTCTCTTTGTCTCTTATTCCTTGTGTCTCTCTACTTCTTTTAGAGATAGAAAATTAACAGATTATGAGCTGTATTCATCTTACATTCAGACCAATATAATACGTAGTTGCAAATTTCTTTTGGTGATGGTTGTGGGATGCATACATGCGTGTGTGTCTGTGTCTGTGTGTGTATGAGAGAGAGAGAGAGAGAGAAACTGCCAGAAAGTGTGCATTTATTAAGCACCTATAATGTGCCAGATAGTGCTAAGCACTGTGGGTTTGAAGACAAAAATGTTCCCCTTAAGGAGTTCATATTCTAATGGTAGAGACAACATGCAAAAGATGTGGATATATGTATATACAGAATATATGCATTGTAAAAGGAAGATATATATTGTAAGTGGAAGATATTCTCAGAGGGAAGGTACTAGCAAGTGAGGGGAGGAAGGGGACTGGAAATATCGCAGTAATATTATTTTTAAAAAATCAACTATATGTTTACAAGCTTAACATTTACAAAGCTCTATTCTGGAGACCCTACAGAATTAATTATATAGTCTCTGTCTGCCTGCTAAGAGTTTACAGTTTAATAAAGCTTCCTGCTTTTTTTCCACAGGGAATCATTTCAATTATATTACTGAGCCATTAGCTGGACCAACCTACATCTTAATATTATTTCACTCTATTCTAAGGGACCTCCACGTGGTGCTTTATCTATTTCTCTGCTTTAAGTCAGGGCAAGCAGTTCCAAATAGATGAATCTTTAACCTACTTAAAGAAAAATCTTGAATTAGCAAAAATGAAAGAAAAATAAAATTTTCTCAACCCTCTATTTTTTTTTCTTGAAACTACAACAAAACCTTACCAACTGGTTCATTAATTTGGGATTTTGTGATAATTTAGAGAAGGCTAGCCAGAAGTTTACCTTAGCATTATCAATGAAGAAAAGGTTTGCTCTACAAATTAAGAGTAGAAACAAAGTTGCCCCAGGGAATGTTTAAATTACTGTACTTTAGAGAAAGGGACAGTTTCAAGCATTCCCCAACACATTAATAGTTTCCATTTACATAAAAACAATTGATATGTTAATAACAAATCATTCTTATCTGCTCTTTAAAGCAGGTCCCCTAAGGATTTCTTCTAGGCCACGTGTGGGTAGCTTAGTTCAATGATTATACATACAATATTTGAAACCAATTAGCATGTATTTCTCTAATTTTTTGTCCTGCAATTTATACTCTTTCCCTCCAAAACTGCTCCCCCCCCCCCCAGTCAAAGGCATTTAGTGAGGTTTGACAATATTTCATTTTTTTAATATTGACTTTCAGGGGAATGGTAGTGGAAGGCTTGTGAATGTGACCATCATCACCAGGAACCTGTCATTAACTTATCCAGAGGCATTCGAGTATACGCCTTCTTTAAATCCAGCTATCGTTTCCCTGAGCAGAAATAGAAGCAACACAGCAGGTAAGGATAAATGGCACTCTAAAAATTTTCTCTTGATAGAACTTTGGTCCAGGAAAAAGGCAAGAGATGAGTCTCTGGTGAATTGTCGTGAAGACAGAAAAATACAGGGAATAGGAGCTTACCTGCAAATCAGGAGACCTGGTTTCTCAGCCCAGCTGTGCTACTAACTCAATATTTGACCTTGGGAATCTTGGAGTCAGTTTTTCTCTTAGTAAAATGAAGCTCAGCCATCACCCTCATGATGTCATTGATCCTCTTCGGGGATGAACAACAGCATGAAGCTATTCTCATGTACTCTTACCTTCGTAAGTGGGTACTGCAAGGACAAGACAGGTTAGGAATTGGGCTTGTGATTTCACTGATAGAGGGATCTTCCCAGGTAAAGAAATTCACTCTGCCAACGCAGGTCTGTACCTTCTCATTTTAGAAAGTTTGCCCAGGGTCACAAAGTTAATGTGTCAGAGGTGAGACTTGAACCCAGGTCCTGGCTCTGAGTCTAGCATTCCATTAGTATGCATACTGCTTTTATATTTTGAGAATACTAGTGATAAAAACTATGTGACGCAGGGACATGATTATATCATGTGATCACAGGATGTCGAGATGGATGGAACCTTAGAGATCAACAGTCCAACCGCTGCATGCTACATATGAAGAAACTGAGGCTCCGAGAGATTGTAACTTGCCTATGATCACATATATAATAAACATCTGTGAGAAGAAATTCAAACCTAGAGACTCTTGACTACAAATTATACCAGACTTTGTTGTTGTTCAATCATTTTTGGTTGCGTCCTATTCTTCGTTACCTCATTTAGGTCCTGGAAAAGATACCAGAGTGGTTTGCTGTTTTCTTTTCCAGCTCATTTTACAGTTGAGGGAACTGAGGCAAACAGGGTTAAGTGACTTGCCCAGGGTCACCCAGGTAGTAAGTATCTGAGGCAGATTTGAACTCAGGAAGATGAGTCTTCCTGACTTCTGGCACTCTACTCACTGTGCCACCTAGAAGTGCCTCAATATCATTATTACAAACATTAATTACCATTGTGCATTAAATCATCCATTTAACAATCATTTATTAAGTATCCACTGTGAGAATAGCTCTGCTGAAGTTCTGCTTTGATACTAAATACATGGTCCCTGCTTTCATGAAATTTACAATCTAATGTGTATAAGGGGCATATAGTACAAACACAAATATGCAATACTTTGTAATACATATTAAATTACTATGCGGCACCTATAATGCAGAATTGAACATGATGAGAACATGAGGATTCCAAAATTCTATAAAAGATCCGAAGAAGGAAAGATAATTTCTAGCTGGGGTGGTGGTAGTTCAGGGCACTTCTCAGAGGTGGTGGCTTTTGAGTGAAGCATGAAGGATGGTTAGAATTTCAAAAGGTAGGGATAGTGGGGATGAGTATAGTGAGAGTGGTAAGGGAGGAATGACATTCCAGGGAAAAGGACCACTGTGAACAAAGGCTCTGAGGTAGGAAAATGGTAGGGATTTGCAATGTAATAAATAGCCTAGTTTGTCTGGGATACAGTGTGCACTGAAGGGAGTACAGTTATCCTTTTCACATCACAACTTTCCCCATCATGGTTTTGATATATCCTGGTTGGCATAAGAAATTAAATGGGAATTTGGAGGGAGTTTTGTGAACAGTATGAGAAGACTAGCAGATGACAGAAAAAGTTTAGCATCTCAGATATGCATAAAATATTTATATAGTATTGTATAATATCAACATATTTTATCTTTTAATACCATAATAATTCAGACTTCTTCTCTGGTACGAAGGGAGGGCTAAAAATTTTTACGCTGATTTTCCAGATCTCAGAGGTGCTACTGGCCCCTTTACTTCCCTGCGATGTGGAAGGGATATCTGTAGTTTGAAATAAGGCTGAAAAATTAGGGAAATGACAGGGTGTAGAGGACTTGAATGCCAAGGAAAGAAGTTTGAGTATTTTGGGGGAGGTAAAAGAGAACAGGGCAGTGAGAACAAGGGATGTAGATGTGGCCAACTGCCATCTAACAAGCCCAGACAAACAGAGAGTGTTACTATATACAAATCTAAGTTATTATGGAAGACCAACCCTTTTCCCTAAGACAACCCAGTTCCTTTCTCTGGTGTCTTTTTAAAATTTTCAGGGCTCCAGAGGGCACAAATAAAAGGAAGTGTCCTTTAGCTTTTCAATATTATTCAGACAGTATAATGCAAACTAAGAATCTGCTGTTTCTGGCAACCAAAGTGGGTAGAATTCCTCTGTGGCACAGATTCTTCATTCAGAATGAGAGAGAGGAGGATAAGGAAGTCACTCCTCTCTGTTCTGTCCAGGGCCAACCGACTCTGGTTGGCTTTTAATAAAATTTCTGTACTATAATGAAAAGTATAAATATATTACGTCAGTGCCTTACAGGCATCTAGGAATAAATTGACAATTGACCAAAAGTCCAAAGAATTCATGTGATTAATATATACAATGTGATGTGTTTTTTTCAAAGCTCAAAACTTCTATTTGAATTTTTCTGTGGTCTGGGTAGGAAAATGCGTATTAGAAAATTCACAAAAGGTGATATTTTACAAGATGAATCATTTTTGGTCTGATGAGCAGAGGAGGGGAAGAGAGAAATGAGGATTATATGAGGCCAAAAGGAATCCTTCTTGTTAGAGGAAAATGATAAGAATAAATAAATAACATGTAGAACACCCCTATAATAGGTTGTTCCTCATACCTGGGCTATTATAGTAGCCTTCTATGTGCCCCTAGGCTTTTCCCTTTCCAAACTATCCATCACAGATGCCAGATTTTTCTTCTTAAAGCACATTTTTAGCCAAGTCTCTGCAGCACGGTGTAGTGGGATAAGTGTAAGAACTGGAATCAGGAGATAGGTTCAAATCCTACCTCTGACACTGACTACCCTTGTGACCTCAGGCAAATCACTCAGTTTCTACTCCAGGTTCCTTCATCTGCAAAATGGGGATAAGTAATACCTGTATCACCTTTCTTACAGGGTTATTGTGAACGAAGTGCTTCAGAAACCTTAAAGCACTATATAATAAGAATAGCTGAAATGTATATGGTGCTTTAAGGTTTTCAAAATGTCTTGAAATATTATAAATTGTATTGAAATGTAAAATGTCTTGAAATATTTTAATTATATTATTATTATAAGATATATATTTTCTAATTCAATTTGTTATCAATCTGCCTCTCTGTCTGTCTGTCCATACATCCATCCATTCATCCATCTATCTGTCTGTCTGTTTATCTACCTGTATGCCTATCTGTCTCTTTGTTCATCTGTCTATCTGTCTGTCTACCTTTATGCCTATGTATCTATGTATCTATCTATGTTTCTATGTATCTATGTATCTATCTATGTATCTATCTATCTATCTATCTAACTATATGTCTGTTTGTCTGTCTGTCTAGTTATCATTACTAAAAACTAAGGTCTCAACCTTAGGTCACAACCCCCCAGGACTCAATTTCTCTACCTTTTAAAGAAGGGAGGAGGAGTTGAACTAGATGCTGTTTAGGGTCCCTTCTACCTTTAACACTTTATGTTTCTATGATCTTAAAGTTATACTATTGTTTGAAAACTTGAATTACTTACTGGCATTAACTGGCTAAATCCCATATTTCTTCACTTGGCATTCAAGGCCCCTCAAGAATTGGTCTCAACTTACTTTTCTAGTTTCATCTTAATCTTGTCAAACTAGCATCCGCATTTCCTACCTACCTACCTCATTATTTTCTCATCACCCCAGCCTTTCCAAAATAGCTTTCTTGTTTCTTTCTTTTTGCTCATGCTCTTACATCTCTCTGGAATGCTCTTCCCTCTCAGCAACTCCCTGCACAGTACCTAATTATTCTTCAAGGTCCAGCTTACATCAAGGTTGTATATATTCAAATCCAACAAATTAAAGAGCATACACGTGGTTTTGCGTAGTCATAAATAAGTTCTGGAAGGAATTAGAGGGTTTTAGGTTATGTATCCCAAATTGTGCTTCTTAATAGATGCCTCTCATTTCAGGAGATCAGACACTTTTCATTGGAACTACATCTCTGGTGAATTATACAGACCTGGATGTGAAAGTCCATATTCAGGACACCTTGACTCAGATCTTAAAGCAGGGACCTCAGGGTCTGGAGGTGGCACTTCCCCCCTTGCCAACAGGGTGGCACAGCATTTCAGTCACAATGAATGGTGTCAACATCAGCTCAGAGGGGTAAGGTCAAGCATATGTTGGTAAATATTTAACAAGAGGCTGTTCTTCAAAAAAAAAATGAAAGCTACACTTTAAAATTTAATCTGTGTCATTAACATTTTCTTCCTCACTTTCTAAGGTCCAGACAATCAACAAAACAATAAATAAAACCTACTTTATAGCCCTTCCTGGTTTCTGAGGTGTAAAAGTTCACACTGAAAATTTAACAATTGACTCTGAAAAGCCTGTATGAGCTGACTTCAGGATGCCCCTGGAAGATGAAAACTTCCCATTCTGAAGTGTGGGTGTGGTTGAACAAGCTTGCATGGGTACCCTGATGCAAAGGCATTGCTGGAAAGATCTTAGAGGTCATCAAAGAGTCATAGATTTGGTCTTGAAGGAACCTTATATATCATCTTGTCACTCCCCCCACCCCTGCTCCTATTTTTCATATTAGAAAAATGAAATTGAGGCCTAGAGTTTAAGTGACTTGTCCTAGGTGATACAGGTAAGATGGTAGAGCTCCCAGATCATCTGACTCCAAATTAATCCATCTTCCCATGTCTAGTCCAACTGCCTCTGACATATCTTTCTTCACTAGGGTTGATCTTCAAATCCAGTATATTACCCAAGTCTTTCAGATTGAGCCTTGCTGTGGGTCCCTTCTGGGTAAGTATCTCCCATATAGTTTTTAGCCTTAGGCCAGGTTTGTTGTTGTTATTATTGTTATTGTAGAGGCAATGGGGTTAAGTGACTTGCCCAAGATCATATAGCTAATAAATGTCTGAGGCCTGATTTGAACTCAGGTTCTTCTGACTCCAGGGCTGTTGATCTATCCACTGCAGCACCTAGCTGTCCCTAGGCTAGGGTTTCTTAACCTGTGGTCTGTGAACTTAAAATTTATATATATATATATATATATATATATGTATGTGTGTATATATATATACAATGTATATATTTGTAATATATTTACCATATATATTATAAATATATATTTATATATTTTTATATATAAAATTTTTTTTATAAATGTAATTCTCTATAGCTGGTTTCTTTTAAGATCCTCTTAGTTTATTCATTTAAAAGTGTTATTCTTAGAAGAGGTCCATAGGCTTCACCAGACTGCCAAAGGGGTCCATGACCCAAAAAAAGTTATAAACCCCTGCTTTAGACCTACAGTCAGGAGATTAGGGTCATCTCTCCCCTGGCATTGACATTCAGTTTTATGATCATTGAACTAGTTGGACTTTTTAATTTGCCTCCTGTGATGCACACACTCTGTACCCAGTAGGGGCTGTTATATTCTTCATCTTTATTTCTCCAGGACCTAATACAGGGTCTGGCACATAGTAGGAAGGCACTTAGTAAATGCTTATGGATTGATTGCTTGTATACACACATTAAGTTAATGAGCAAAATAAACTTAAGGGTTTTTATAAAAAGGAAATTCTTGGGTTTCTTTTTCCTTAATGAAAAAAAAGTGGAATAATCTAATGTATAGGCTCCTTGAAGGGATATTAGAAAAAGCTCAGGAAGGATTCCATTTAGTCAGAGAAAGCACATGCAACCCATAAAAGAGCAGGGGGAGCCTACTATGCCTAGATCATATATTTAGAGTTGGAAGGGATCTTACCAGGCATCTAGTTCCCTCATCTAATGGCTGAGAAACCTGAAGCCCAGTGGAGAAGAGTTACTTTCCCAGAGCTGTAGCCAGGAATTGAATCCAAGTCTTGGAGATCCAAATTCAGCGTTCCTTCTCCTAGACCACATTGTGCCTCTACTACTCTCTCAGGATACAGACACTTGGCCTAGAAGCATAAGGAAGAAGACAGTAAAGTTATACAAAAGAACATATTTTTGAACCTACTGCTTTTCAATAAGAATATAGAAAGCCATATGCCTCTGAGAATTCACTGCACATTAAAATAATAGTAGTAATAATAGATAACATTTATATGGAGTGTTACGCTTTAAGCACTTTAATATGTTTTTATGTTATTTGATCCTCACAACAACCTTGTGAAGCAGGTGCTCTTATTATCCCCTTATCCCAGTTTCACCAATGAGGAAAATGAAGTTTAGAGAGGGTTGGGGAATTTCTCAGGATTACACACTAGTAAGTGTCTGAGGCAGGATTCAAACTCAGGTCTTCCTAACTTGACCAGAGTCACACATTTGCAAGTTTCTGAGGCAGAATTTGAACTCAGATCTTCCAGACTTCCTTAAGGGCAGCTAGGTGGTGCAGTGGATAGAGTGCTGGGTCTGAAATTAGGAAGATTCATCTTCCTGAGTTCAAATCTGACCTCAGACACTTCCTAGCTGTGTGACCCTGGGCAAATCACTTAACCCTATTTGCCTCATTTTCCTCCTTTGTAAAATGAGCTAGAGAAGGAAATGGCAAACCTCCAGTCTTTTTGCCAAGAAAATCCCAAATGGGGTCATGAAGAGTTGGACATGACTGAAACGATTGAACAATTTCCTGACCCCAAGTCCAACATTTCATCCACTGGGCCACTATTAGCTATATTGTGACCTTATTCTTTGTAAATTGGGAAACCCTATTATAAAGCACCTCACTATACTATTGGGTCAAATAGGATCATCAGTATACCATCAGAAGGGATTTCAGAGGCCATCTAATCCAATCACCTCTTTTTATAGATGAGGAAACTGGGGCACAGGGAGTTTAAGTGACTTGCTAAGCTCACACAAGTAGTAAGGGTAGGATTTGAATCCAGGACCTCTAATTTTAGAAACAGGGCTCTTTCCTCTGTACCACACTGCCTTCTTATACTATGATTCTAATCTTCTTCATGTATACAGTGATTTATAGAGAATTTTCTTGCTTTAATTCAGCCTCTGAGATAACTGTTACATCTCTTGACGACATTATAATGAGATTTGACTACTCTAATTATGTTTTGGTCTATGAAGAGTAGAGGGTGGGAACATGGTAGAAAGGACAGTTGTTGCATGAGATATATTTTGTGTGTTTTTATATATAGGACTTTCATTAGGTATTTGTCAAATCAACAAACTAAGTTATCAAGCATTTATTAAATGCTTACTTTCTGCCAGGTACCATGCTTGTTGCTGGGAATACAATTACAAACAAAACAAAACAAACAAAAACCCAAAACAGATAGTCCCTGCCCTTGAGGAGATTCCATTCTAAAGCAGGAAGACTATCATAAAAGGGAGCAAGAAGGTGGAAAGGGGAGAGTGAAGCTCAGAGATTCAAGAACAGACCTGGAGGAAGAGTCCAGGAGTAAACATGTCTGGCCTGGGGAAAGCCACATGTTTTTACAAGTAGATGAACATGATTTGTAATTCTAATATCAGCAGTATGGAAGTGGATATTTCTAAACTGTGTGAAAGAACCCGAGAAATTTAGCCTCCTAAGTATTTTAAGGTAGCCTGAAAAGTTAGCTGGAGGCTCAGTTTAGAGGCAAGAAACCCTGGGTTCAGATTTTTCCTCCGATACTCACTAGCTGTGTGACCCCGGGCATATGATTGAACTTTGAGACAGGCAATTGTCTAAACCAGAAGGTACAGATGAGTTGATGATCTGTGGCAGAGGAGAGTGTTTCTACGCCAGGAGGTACAATCACAGGTTTGCCTCTAAATACTTTAAGCCTAAAGTGCAATTAAATGACTTTTTTTTTTTTTCACTATGCTTAATAAATTTTTTGTCCTGTTTTGTTAATTTGCTGGTTTAGGCACTGGTCTAGATTGCCTAGTTCCAAATATCTATTGTTTCTGACTTGGTTCTCAATTTCCATTCCTTTAGGTGGAACCACCCTTACTATCTCTGGAATTGGCTTTAGCAAGGATCCATCTCTAGTTTCAGTATCATTGGGCAACCAGACCTGTAGCATTGTGAACTCAACTGAAGAGACCATCTGGTGTGAGACTTCATCAGCCACTTACTTGCCTGATACAGAGCCTCAAGCTGTCATGGTTCCCATAGAAGTCTCAATTGGCAATATCTGTGCCCCACATGATCCCTCATTTGACTTGGCAAAGAAAAACTTTACTTTTACCTACTGTACAGCTTTAACTCCTTTTGTGACTGCCATGCAAGGTCAAATCAGAGGTGACATTCTGGAGCTACAAGTGGAAGGAAATAATATATCTAAATCAATTGTCCTACTAGGGGACATGAAATGTAACCTTGAGCTACAATCCTTCAGTTTCAATAGAACTCAGTATTTCTGTTCCTTACCACTAGCAAATGTTGAAGCTGGGATTTATCCCATCCAGGTTTTCCAGAAGGATGTGGGATTTGCAAATATGTCTGCTGTGCCCTACAGTTTTACAGTGTCTCCCCTGGTTACTGACATCTTTCCCACCCATGGATCGGTGTGTGGAGGGACATTGCTTACTATAGTGGGCCTGGTTTTCAATTCCAGAATGAGTTTAGTACAGGTTGACCTCTCTGGCCCTCATACTTGTGCCATCTGGAACTGGAATGACCACATGATCCTCTGCCAGGTTAGCCTTGTGGGGCATCTCCCTAAAGCATCACGTGCCCTGAATGTCACAATCACAATTAATGGGATAAGCAATGAGTGCCAAGGAAACTGTACATTCTATCTACAAGAAGAGGCAACTCCCATTATGGACACATTGACTACCAGTGTCAGTGGGACTTTGACCACCATATTAATTGGTGGTCAAAAGTTAGCCACAGACACTGATGAACTGGTAGTTTTGGTTGATGACCATCTTTCTTGTGATATAACCTTCTATAATGCAACTCAGGTGGAATGTCATCTAAGTGACTTGGGCCCCGGGCTACATCACTTCTCTCTTCTGAATAAGAGAAAAGGCTTTGCTTGCCAACACACCATACCTTCATATTTCACTGTCACTCCTCAGGTGGTTGGATATCACCCTCAGAATTTCAGTGTCAATGGTGGAGGCCTCTTGACTATAGAAGGCACAACACTGAGAGGAAGGAATACAACTTCAGTCCTGGTAGGACACCAACCCTGCCTCACTGTGAATATTAGCTCTCTGCTCATCCAGTGTATCATTCCCCCAGGCAATGGGACAGTTGTCCTGGAAATAGAAGTTGATGGGAACTTATATGATGTGGGGATGATTGGTTACAGTGATGCCTTCACCCCAGAATTACTTTTCATTCTTCAGACTGATGGTTTGATTGTAACCTTCCTTGTGAACCGAACCACTGGTGCTAAGAACATGCAGATCTTTATTGGGGCATCACCATGTGTAGGAATCTTGGGTAACCACACAGTTTTACAATGCTCCATTTCTCAGCTTCCTGCTGGGCCATATCAAGTCAAAGGCCATGACCGTCTCAGAGGCTGGGCTTCATCAACATTGGTGTTCATCTCTAAAGTTACCATTACGTCAATCTATAGGAACTTTGGTACGTCAAGTAAATACCATAAAACTCTCTATCTCTGTGAATGGGTTAACCATGATAGTGGAGGTTAAATGATTTCTATGTGTCGTTTCCAATGGGTAGAAAATTAACACCAATTTGAAAGATGAGAGGAGAGGGAGATGGGAAGATTGAAAAGTGATTGGGTTTGTTATTTCCCCAATTTCTTCCCAAGAGTTCTCTTTGTGATGTTGAATTTATGACTATCTTTGATTGGTTTTTTATAGAAGGGACTGCATTTTTAGAGTGCATGCTCTATAAACATGTGATTGTATTTTAATTTCCCAAATTAATCTGATTTAATTTCTTTAAAAAAAAAACAAAGCACTGTAATTTACAGGAACTCATTACTTCATTATTTAAATAGACTATAATAACATACCCATTTTCCCCCTCAGGATCATGTAATATGTATGACTATATTTTGTATACATTAAATATAATAATTTTCTCATTATTTAATATTTATTTCAATTCCACAATATGGAAGAAGATGAGATTCTCCAGGAGACCAAATTGCTATAGTTCCTATGGTGTTGCATATACATTCCCCTTCAACTCAGCTTAGTTATTCCGAAATATCTTCTTCATTGCTTTGCCATGTTGGTTTTTGGTTCTTCTATTCTCTTGTAGTCTAAAAGATGCTTACTTTAAACAGGATACAAAGGCTTTTAAAAATGATTGAGAAGATACAGAGTACAGTTGTAGTTAAAGAAGAGAATTGTAATACCTTAAGGCCTGAACAGAACCATTTCTTATACACACACTCAACTATGGTATTATGGAATGTTGCCAATTCCAGTCAAGGTTTTGCCTCTGATTAGCTGTAGCTTAACGACTTTAGGTCTTAAGTTCCTTAACTGTCAAATGAAGGACTTAATACTCTCTCAGATCCTTTCCAGTTTCAATATTCTTTGATTTCATGTTGGCAGAATTGTTGTCATTTTTTTTTCAGTTGTGTGAGACTCTTTGTGACCCTATTTGGGGTTTTCTTTGTAGAGATACTGGAGTGGTTTGCCATTTCCTTCTCTAGCTCATTTTATAGATGAGAAAATTGAGGCAAACAGGGCGAAATGACTTGCCCAGGATCACACAACTAGTAAGTGTCTGAGGCCAGATTTGAACTCAGGAAAATGAGTCTTCCTAATTCCAGGCCTGGCACACTATTCATTTTGCCACCTAGCTGCCCAGTGTTTTGCTATTTCCTTCTTCAGTGCATTGAAGCAAACCAAGGTTAAATGACTCGTCCAGGATCACACAGCTAGTAAGTATCTGAGGCCAAATTTGAACTCCTTATTCTAGGCCTATAACTCTAAACACTGAGCCACCCAACTGTAGAATGGAGGGTGTGAAATGGGATTAATTCTCTGTCACTGACATTGTGTAATAATGAGAAAAATACTGGATTTGGGATCAGAGGACCTGAGTTTGAATCCTAGCTCTGTTATTTATTACTGTGTGACCTTAGGCAAGACAATTGGCCTTTCAGACAGCCTAGAATTAATGGGTTGCTGTGGGTTTCTCACAGAGTCTATTGGAAGAAAGCTGTGTGTTGAGAAAGCAATGGTTTGGGTTTTGATATATCAGGAAAAAAGAGATGTGATCATACGATAATAACCTTGGCTTTTGATTATGTATAAATCTTCTCTCTAAAGGCTGTCTGGGTGGAAGACTACTGCATGTACACGGAAGTGGATTTTCTCCAGGGAACATATCTGCTGCCGTCTGCGGTGTCCCCTGCCAAATCTTAGACAATGCTACAGTGACCGCCTTTAGCTGCCTGGTGCTGCCACTGGATGGTTCGTTAAAATGAAATTTTCCATATATGTAGTGCTGGGATTATTGAGGAGTCATGTGGTATAATTGAAAGAGTCCTTCCCTGCTCCTTCTTCCCCCCCCAACAGAATAGTGTAAAATTAAAGTGAATGAAAATATTTAATATTTAACACTAAGCTTTAAAAGGGAGTTCTGCTCTTATTGTTTAATATCTCAGTGCAAAAAGTAAGCTGATAAAAAGAGAACTTATGACATTTTATTTTATTTTATGTAATAAGACATATGATATTTTGGGGTAAATTTAGGGAAGTTAAAATCTTCATGCCTAGGCTTGTTTAATTACTAAAGAAGTCATTCCCTGCCCCATCCCTCCTCCCCAAAAAAATCCTTGACCTGCAGGCAAAAGACATGGGGTCAAGTTCCAGGAATCAAGGACTGTATATCGCCATGTGCATGATATTTCCCTTCTCTGGGCCTTAATTTCTTCATCTTTAAGATGGGAGTGAACTAGGTACTTTTTGAAGACCCTTGGGGCAGCTAGGTGGCACAGTGGATAGAGCACAGGTCCTGGAGTCGGGAGGACCTGAGTTCAAATCTGGCTTCAGACACTTGACACTTACTAGCTGTGTGACCCTGAGCAAGTCACTTAACCCCAATTGCCTCACCAAAAAGAATAAGAATAAGAGCGTTGGATTAAGTCAGTCATTCCTAAGGTCTTTTGAGTGATAATCTGTGACTCATGTTCACATATTCCAATAAATTCTTAAAAAAAAAATGAAGACCCTTCCTTCCCAGGAATTCTGTGATTCTACTTCATTTAGTAAATGTTCCTTTTTTTTTTTAAAAAAAAAAAAAAACAAAACAATTTAGGGGAAAACCACTTAACCACTCTGAAATTCAGTTTTTACCAAAAATTGTCATTTGAATTGTTGTGGAGTTCATAGGACAACTTAGAAACAAACAAACCAACCAGTCACTGTTTGTGCCCTATTTATGTACTGGAGTTTAGGGAAAAAATATTCTGGGCTTTATGGATTGTCTTTGGATGGAAAACTACCACAGAAGGACCCAACACTGTTACTAGCCCTGCTCTGCCATTAGGGTGAAACTGATGGCTGCTTACGTCTGCTGTCTGCCACTCTTAGTACAATACAGGATGGTGTCAAGCTAGAGACAACAGCTCCTGAATATTGGCTGTCCCTGCTTGATCATATGCCTGATCTCTTCTGTAATTAGAACAGCGGTTACCTTTGCCAGCTAACATTATCTCCTGTTTCTGTAATTACCAGGTAATTAACAGACATCATCTTTAGGGATACATCATCTCTGTTACTTTTAGTTGTGCAACAGGCTTTGGATAAGTTCTCCTTTTGGTAGGGAAAAATATAGCTTTGTTATTCATTGGGTTGGCTGGCAAATTGTGTAGTAATTACACATCCTGCTTCAAGAAAAGTCCAGACCTAATTACTGCCTAAACTGCAGGAGGAGCTTAGCCAGATGATTATCTTGTTTGCATAATTACAGATCAAGGAGCTATTTAGGCATTTAACAACAAAGTTTACCAGATCTCCTTTTAGCAGTCAGGTCCTACTGCGGCATGTGGCTGCAATGTGAATATTAGATTTGCCAAATGATGCAGGTGAGATTTCAATTAAGCAGATTCAGATTTTTGATGGGGGTCAGAGTCTGACAGACAGGGGCAGAGTGGGAAGGGGAGAAAAGGAGAGGGATGCAGGAGAGACTGGGATGGGAGAAATGGACAGAGAGGAAGAGGAAGAGCAAAGAAAGAGAATGAGAGAGATAGTGGGTGAGGGAGGGATTGACAGAGATAAAGGGAAGGGGAGAGAGAGAAAGAGTGAGAGAAAGAGAGAAGGGGAAAGAGGAGGGAGAAAAAGAAAGGGAGAACGAGGATATTAGGGAGAGAGTGGGAAGGAGACAAAGACAGGGAAGGAGGAGGGGAGAGGAAGGATGGGGGAGAGAGGAAAAGGGCAGAGATTAGAGAGAGGAGAGTGAGGCAGGAGAGGAGAAAGATGGAGATAGAGGAAGGAAAAGAGGAGAGTGTATATAAAAAAGAGTTTTTTACTGTACTAGTTTGGAAAAGAATATAATATTTTTTGATTAAGTCTCTTGAAATGATGAGATATGTTCCTAATGCTATTGAATACACAAGAAAAACCTAAGCTCAGAAAGGCTGATTAATTCACTTACGATTCTGCAATGGTGGAACCACGCAATGAAGACTTCTATGTCTAACAATAAATGCCATTTTCATAGGACTTTATTCTTTACAAAGTGTTTACCTAAAAATACAAAACAAAATAAAATCCTGTGAGGTAGGTAGAAGGTATTGTTATCCCATTTTACAGATGAGGAAACGGTCTCAGAGAGCTTAAATGGTCTTCCCTAACTCCCACAGGTAGTCATTACCAGAGCTCAGCCCAAACTTTTTGGATCAAAGTCTTTTTCCCCTGCACTCTTTGGGGGCCTAAACCACAGTTGATAACTATACCCTCCATTTAGGAAGAGAGAGGAGAGGGAAAATTTTCATTTTGTAGTGCTTAAAATGAATAAACAACAATAAAAATGAAAGAATTATTGCATTTCTGAGTTAGAAAGGCCCTCAAAGGATTTTGTTCAATCACTTGTTATTAAGTCATTTTTCACTCAGGTCCAACTCTTCACGACCCCATTTGGGGTTTTCTTGGCAAAGTTTGCCATATTCTTTTTCATCTCATTTTAAGATGAGGAACTGAGGCAAATAGGGTTAAATGACTTGCCAGGGTCATACAGCTAGTAAGTGTCTGAGGCTGGATTTGAGCTCAGGTCTTCCTAACTCCAGGCCCAGCACACTATCCACTGCGCCACCTAATGGCCCTTATTCAATCACTACTTGAACAATGGTCTTCCCTGCCATATCCCTAATGAGTGGTCATCCACTTAAAGAATTCTTGTGATGGGAAACTTGCTGTCAACCTGCTCATTTTCTCCCTTTGATAACTAATTGTTAGGAAGAGTTTGGTTATTAAATCAGTTGCTCCTTTTCAGCTTTCACCTGTTGCTTCTGATTCTGCTTACTCTAGCCATAATAGAACAAGGCTAATTTTTCTTCCACATGTCAAGTAGCTTTCTTGTCTCCTCCCTCTGTTTTTTCTCCTAAACATCCCCAGATTCTTTAGAGGATGCTCATGTGATTTCTAGTTCCTTCATTATACTGGTTATCCTGCTCTCCAGTGGATTAATGTCCTGAAAACTGGAAATTCAGATCTAAATTGACAGTCCCATATGTGGCCTGATGAAGACAGATCACAGCAGGACTATGGACACTCTTGTTCTGGACACTATATGCCTCTTCATGACTCCTAAGACTGTATTAGCTTCTGTGGTTATTATATGTACTGTTAACTCATTGAATTTTTGGTGAACTAAACCCTCTCCCTTTGATATTTTTCCCTTCTAAATTATTGTGTATCCATATCCTTCTCATGCAATTGCATTTTTGAATCCAAGTTTATCACTTTATCTTTATTAAATTATATCTTTTTAGACCCAGCCCATCTTTTTATCCTGCTATGTCTGGATCATGAGTCCATCCTTCAACATGTTAATTATCTCTCTCATTGTCACCCCTAGATGCTATATTTCAAGAGATTTGGGAGTAGTTCTTCCCACAAGGCAGTTCTCAGGCCAGTCATACCTTTTCATTGTGCATTCTGCTCCCTTGTCCTTGCGTGAGTGCTCCACGGAGGATGCCAATTTTAAGCCTTACTGTTTGTTTTTTTTAACATTCTGTGAAGCACTCAGGCTATCATTCATCTTGCTCTCACCACGTGACCAATTCATCTCCTTCTCCAATCATACATTTTCTGGATAGCTTTCATGTCAGTTTTTCCATGCAAATCATTTTCAGTAATGTGCTGCCCACCATCTCTTCCATGTGGCCCTTAAGAAAACTACAGTTTCCAGCACTGAAAAAATTAAGGAAATACTCACAGAAGGAATTTGATTTTAGAGCAGAACTAACCTTGACAATCCTTTCCAGAAACTCCGGGTAACATTGGTAACAGTTCAAAACCAGTGGAATTCGGTGAAGACAAGGAAATAGCAATCCTTAAAATAGCCACTAGGTGACAGTAAGTACACACAGATTATGTAGAAGCCTCACTGTTTACTCCAAGAAGATAATTTAGCTTGTTCTAGAAAAAGGAGGGAGAGAAAGAAGTTACCAAATAAAGAAAAAGGAAAATAAAGAGGGAGAAAGATAAGGAAAAAGAGAAAGCAAAGAAAAGAAGAAAAGAAAGAAAAATAAGACAGAAAGAAAGGAAGAGAAGGAAGGAAAGACAGGAGGAAAAGAAAAGGAAGGGAAGAAAGGAGGAAAAAGGAAGGAAAGGATGAAAGAAAAGGAGGAGAAAGAAGGAAAGAAAGAAAGAAGGGAGGGAGGAAAGAGAGAAGAAAGAAATAAAGAGGAAAAAGGTATTTAATCCTACAATTTTGTAGAAAGGAAGTTGAATGTTTATCTACCCCACTCTCTTAACTTCCTATATTATCACATATAAACCATCTGAGACTGATGAAAATTTATTGCTTTTTAAAAGCAACCCCAGCAAAAGAAGTTTCACAACTTTCCCTGCTAAACTATGTAAGTGTTTAAAGATGATCACAGCAGAGTTTACTTTCATCCAAACTCTGGTGAATGTAGAATACAGTGATATGAAGGAAAGATCATTGACTCCAAAGTCAGAGGATCTGTGTTCAAATCCTGTCTCTGATGGTATATCTGTATGACCTTGGTCATTTAATCTTCCTTGGTCTCAGTTTCCTCATCTGCAAAATGAGGTGCAGCCTTAGATCAAGGGTGTGTAATATGGTTTAAAAAATATTTTGATAATTATATTTCAATATCATTGTTTCATTTGTTGTCATATGCATTTTATTTTATGAATTGTAAAACATTATTCTGAGAAGAGATACATAAGTGTTCATCAGGTTGCCAAAGAGGGTCATGATGCAAAAAAAAAAACTTAAG